TCTATATTTCAAAATATTGATAATGCAATATATTGGTTAGTATAAATTGACACAATTTATTGTTAAATAAAATCTAATATATTAAATTTTTTATTAATTAAACTTGATTACCATCCGCATCTCATGAATGACAAAGCTAATGGACCCAGTGATGTGAGTCACCCTTTCCCCAGAGCTCCTATTCTTTGCTCCCCTTGCACTGAGCCTCTTATATTCATCAGAGTCCCAATATGTCAGTAGCTGAGGCCATATATGAGTTGGGATCCAACATGGGACATAGGCTTAGTTCTTGTCCCATTTCAACTTCTAATCCCTGAGATTGCCACTCCATCTATGTTTCATACAATTTAGGAATGCATCTCGCACATGGCGATTATCTGCAGGATCCCACTGGTAAAGTGTTTGCAAAATAAGAAATAAATAACATTAGATGTCTGAGAAATGTAAATTCTAATTTAGTAATGAAATTATTTATTTTTATTAGAAATTGCTAAATCCATTCATTTTATTAAATTTGCTAAAACTTAATATTACCTTGAAACAATTATAAATTTCAGCAATCTTGCTTTGGGGGACACGCTCGTATGTGAAATACAGGCCATCAAAACGTGACTTCCATAGTGAAGTGATAGTCCAATGGATGTTTGGATCAGCAAACTGGAGCTTATCATCAGTGAGTTTAACCCATTTCCTGATCTCTTTATTTTCTGGAAGACGTATTCCTTTGAAATTCCTGCTCCGTCCTTTTTTCCCCGTCGAGGATGAAGGGCCATCGTTCTCATGATCAGGTGCAAAATTATAATTCATTAATGGATCAATCGTTTGCTGTATATCCGGAGCTACGCTACTATCAGTAAACAGTTGTGGGTGATTAAAATTGTGTTGCTCTTGTGATCTTGAGGAGGAAGATCTCCTCCTTGCTGAACCTGCAGGATTTCCAAACATCCTGAAAAATGAATAACAAAATAGTTATTAATACATTTATACAAATAATAAGTAACAAATTTAGAACAATCATACAATGATTCTATTTTAAATGAAAAATATATAACTTGATAAAACAATATATGTAAGACAGAAATTTTAATACATATATTTAATAAGTAATAAAACAAATGTTTCAATTAATCATCACTATCATTGCTATCATCACCATCCTCAACATTATCACTATTTCTTGAGAATTCTGAATCTTTTTCTTCTCCATAGTCCTCCTCTTCTTCAGATGTATTAGCATCAACCTCAACTTCTGTAACACCTTCTGCACATAGTTGAAGTGATTGGTATGCAGTTAAATCTATAGCTAATGAAGAGCCTTGC